ACTGGTTAATCACAGCTATTAGCTACTCTTCTGCACTATTAATCCAAGATGAAGTGGTAAAGTTGAGCGATAACTACTCATGACACTGTACGTAGGGATTATTTTTGCTTATACCCTAACCCTGACTAAACTGCGAACAGATTGTCTGCACTGAATGACTATCAGTACGTAAGAAGTCTATTTAGATACCGAGTTAGATTGTAAAATAAGTAAAACTGTAAATTACTCGCTAGGTAATTACGTGATGTCTTCAAAGCACTGGATATTCAAGGGACTTGAGTCTTTTAAATAACAGGTTTTCGCAATATACCTACATTGTTCCAACGATATATATCCGTTCATTTCTTTTCAAAAGGAAGAAATGGTAATCAGTCAGTCATAGTTCTGATCGCCTGTTGAATTTCTGATCAAGTTATACATGTTTTAATTGATTAGATTACTAACAAAAAGAGATGACATTCAAATTTGCTGCGCCGGTGTAATATAAACCGATGATGAATTACAATCGACAGGTGCAACAAGTATTTTTTTCATAAAAAAGATGAAACCAATGTTCTGGTAAGATGTAAACAATTTATATTTAGAATTCATCAAATATTATATTTTCTTAGCGTCCCATTAGACTGGAGGAATTGTATTGATCCCCCACCCCAAAATTATGGTAATAATATGTAGATGACACATTTACTGTACTGAAATCAGAACATATTCAGAGATTTTTCGCACATATTAATTCGGTAGTAGATGTAATCCAATTCACTTATGAATTCGAAGATGAAGAAGGAGAATTACCAATGTTGGATACCAGTGTTTACAGGAAATCAAGACATTCTAATAGATGGTTGGGTTTCCCACCGTCTCACCCTATGATCTATCCAAGTAGGCTTGATAAAATGTTTAGGTAACCGGGAAAGGAGTCTGACTGGTAAGCTGGCAAATCTAAATACGGAAGTGAAATACATCAGAGAGAAACTAATTCTTAATAGCTGTCCTCCGGAATTTATTAAAAGGGTATATAAGGACTGATGAGAGAAAGAGTGATAATGTTAGTAGCGATTGCAACATGCCCAAGGAAGAATTCAAATCCTTTGTAGAGTTGCCAAATAAGGAAGACACATCGGAAATTTTCAATAGAAATCTTAACGATACTGGGATTAGAGTGGCATTTGAACCCACTAACTCGCTCAGAGAGAAACTTTCCAGGCTAAAAGTCCCAGCACAGCCAATCAATAAGAATAACCTAATCTATTAGATACAATGTAATGATCGTGAGGTCAAGCATATGGGTCAAATCAGCCGACCTGGGTTAGTCAGAATAGCAGAGCACAAAATTTAATGAAACATCCAATGGTAGACCTTGCTAAGATAAGTGATTCAGATAAAAACTAGGCTATCATTCTGTATGCACTGATTCATAATTACACTATAGGGTACCTGGGATAGGGTGACGACTCTGAAATCCAATATAGCCAGGTGGACGGAGAGATTGATCATAGAATCCTTGTTCATTGAATCCACACCTAACACACATGTAACGGGAATGACTCATTATATATTGCAGATATATGTGGAAAATTTTAATACCATTAAGTTTGAAAGCCATATGATTACTTTTATTCGAATATGACCTAATATAGAATTATATTCTACCATTGCCCAATTTTTCCCCTAACACGAACTATATTTATCCATTGGTTAAACTATACTGTAGTCTTAGTTCACTAGTTTCATTTACTTGCTCTTCATTTATGAGTAGTCAATAAAATTCTTGGATAAAATGTTGAATATTTCACTTGAAATATGGTTTATGTTATAACTTTATTCTGCTATGCAAATGTATATTTTTATACCTGATGAGATATTACTTCCTGACGTAACCGATGTGAAGAATTTGAAACTGTCAGATAATAATCATTTCAAATTTTTGAACTACTAACATTATAAACATCATTTGTTTGTCTTTATTCATCCATTGGTTATTGGCACAAGTTGTTGTGTAATGCGCTTCTACAGTTTTGTTGTAAGAAAGTAACTTCATTAGGCTAATAGTGAAATAAGAAAATTAAGTCATAGACTTGTTGTAGATGCACGAATTATTATTATTTGTCTCTTGAGTTCCTAATGGAACATGGGGCTTCAGTAGCACGTCTCCATTCCACTCGGTTCTCTGCAATCTTTTCAACCTGGCTCCACGACAGCCCACAAGCCCTCATTTCCTCCTCACACCATCTCCTCCATGTCACCTTCACCTCGGACGCCCAACTCGTTGTTTTCCATGGGGTTCCCACTCGAGGGCCTGACGCGCGATGCCTCCAGTCGGCCTTCTCAGTGTATGCCCAATCCATCTCCACTTCCTTCCAGTGCATATTTGTTGGGTGATAGGTTCTTGGTTGGTTCGTTCCCAGAGCTCCTTGTTGCTTATTCTTTCTGGCCATCTGATCTTCAGCAGCGAGCGTAAGCAGTTGTTGATGAATGTCTGTAGTTTATTGGAAATACCTTTCGTGATACGCCAAGTCTCTGAACCATACACAAGCACTGACTTGACTGGATTAGTGTTGAAAATCCGTATCTTGTTCCGCATGCTGAGTGCAGAAGATCTCCACACTGGTTTCAGGCTAATGAACGCCTGTCTTGCTGTCTTTCCGATCCTGGCTGACTTTGACGTCCTCGTCTGTGTCGCCTGTAGTTGGAACAGTGCTTCCCAGATGGGTGAAGGAGGTTACTTCCTTTAAGTTTCTCCCGTTGATGGTGACTGGAGCTTGTTGGTGGTGGTGGTGCGTTATCTTCGTCACCTCCGTCTTCTCTATATTCACCTGAAGTCCCGTCTTCGCTGCCCTATCTCTTCTGTCAACTTGTTAGTTTTCACCTGTAGATCTTCAAGTTTGTGTGACATTAGACATAGGTCATTGACGAAATCCAGATGTTCTAGGGTCTTTCCGTCGGTCAAACAGCGTATCCCCTCTTCTCGCTTCCCACTGTTTGTTGCATGATCCAGTCCACTACAATCAGGAATATCATGGGTGATAGTAGACAACCTTGTTTCACTCCTATCTTCACTTCACTTCAAAAGCATCACTGAGCTTCTGCCATTGTGAACTACTTGGCATAAATTAATACACTTACAATTCTGTCTAAAAAGTCTGATACAATGACAGATAGTAAAGAGTGGAAGTTTGAAAACAAAGTAGCTAATTATATTATTTCACTTATGTAGAATACCAGTTACAATCGAAATAGAATAAATGGTCCCTAACTACTGACTTAGTGCTTAGCATAACTAATCAGGTAAACCAAACTCCCGACTGTATCTCATCTTCACTTTAACTTTATAAGTACCATGGAATCAGCACTTCTGTTAACAGATTTCCACGCAAATAGGAGTAAGATGTAGGCAATCTGGTAGAATATAACTTAAATTCCTTTGATTTATTCAATGGATCGTACAGTAAAAGAGCAATGCGCACTAAATTACGCTTCAGATACAATTCATTGTCCACCCTTAGATCGCCTTGATATGACCTTTAGTGTCAGTAGATTTGGACCTAGTACATCAATATTTCTACAACGTTAGTTCACTGGCAGATCAAGCGACAAATATACTCTAAAGTTTGAATTCATCATGGACTGACATCAGCTGGAGGGACATTGGAAACCTACGAGCATTGAACAGCTATTTCGTTATGGTATTGCATTCATCAGTAGTACAAACCGAGGTCGTGGTTCCCATCCTTGGTGAAGAGGGATGACGGGTGTGTACTGCTGACGAGTTCCAAACCAGAACGAAACAGCTATCCAGCTCTCCCAGGTTTTTCAATTTTCCTCCAACTGATGTCAGCCCATGATAAATTCCAACCTGAAATCAAATAATAAATCTTTACAAACCACCAGACAGAAATATGCTTCTAGTCGAAGAGCCATTTGACTTCCGAGTTACAGAACTGAATATGGCTAATGATTGAGATACAAATAATAGAAATATGTGACTTTGATTTACACCTACAATTAACGTTCCCTAATCGATACAGCTTTATTGACTCCAATTAGTCTGATTCTCAATGAGATCTAATGCAATCAACCGGTTTGTTAATCATGTATTATCGAAGCTTGTTTAACAAAACTACATAAACGTATACGTAAAAAGTGTTTCTTCTTTTTTTTGCACACCTGTTAACTACAAATGGGCATGTTTCCAGTATGCGTAGGCTTTATATACCTATTTTTATTTCTTATAGTTGGCATTCCCATCCAGTGTAACCTTCAAATCTGTAATAACTAAGTTTATTTCGCCTTTTCAACACAAAGTATTACTACTTTTATGCTTAGTGTACAAGAATAATAAAAATGCTGACAACATCAGGAACGAAAAAAAGAAGAAAACTATACATGTGCAAAAGTTATTTTATCGGGTCAATGGATGACCTGGAAAATACATATTTTTTTTACCGGTATATAGACATACATATATATATGCACATCTGCACATATAGACCTGCATACAAGTGGATGTTTCTTAAAATATCAATAGCATGGTATCATACTGATAATAATAGTAATTTGCTTTTACACGAAAGCACAACATCCCAGATGTTTTTGTGCCACCTACTTGTACTCCAGTGATTGGTTAACGGTCGATGACCTTGTAAGATTTGAATGTAAACCTATAGTTATGAATTAATTTAACAGTTTGTAAGGGAAAATACTGGCTGAAGGGTTAAAATCAGTGTGAATATCGTTTTATTTTGTAACAAGATTGTAAATACTAACTGTGATTAGAGTAGTTGAAGTTTTATTGAAATCCTAAAAACTGTACTAAAACACTTCTCTGTTTGTGAATAAGCAATCGCCTCATTTAATGAACAGCAAAAGCTGTTAAAAAGTGAATGATTTAATTAATAAGAAACGTGAAGAATTGGAAATAATAGTCAAGACAGTGACCAACTATTCAAACATATATACATAACCTTTTGGTGTGCACACTTTAATTTATACATGCAAAGAGAATGATACGTACTGCAAAAGTTAGTGGTTGGTAAGTGAATTTGTACGATTTCATTTAACGTTTATAATGTATGATACTTACAAGCGAAATATTCTACTTTGCACAAATAATTCACTCTATCAATATTCTTCTAATGATTTATGCACACTTCAATGGAAAAAATAGGCTGATACAAGTTTGTACATGTTGCTTGGCCGGGGGAAGAAGGGGCTCAGAATGATGCTTCGTCAAAAACCCTACTATTTCAACTGATCCCCTTCGACTCGTCATTTTTTTTACATCAGAAAAGTGAAACACTGTACAACTTTTGTTTTCGTTACAAGGAGATTCGGTAGCAGTCTATCTCATATGAGTAATAAAGGTTATTAGACAAACTCGTAATCAGTTATAGTCTGTACAACAAGTCATATGTACATGATTATCTGGATATATGCAGTTTGTATATAATAGTTACTATTAAGTTGTTGGAATATGTAGGGATATTTGAATTGCATGGGTTTTGTAACATCTTGATTAGTTGCATAGTCTCACTTTGGCAAACTCATCTCAGTACTACAAGATATAAATAATTATGCACCAATTGTAACACGTTTAATCTATTACTTGTAACACACATTTAGTCTAAACTGCTATTTCCCAGACAAGTTTCACAGTAAGAGAATTTAAAGTTTTGAATATCTGACATTAATTCTGACTCCATATTATTACATCTGTTTAAGACGAAAGAATTAGGCTTATCATGGAATGTCCTTGTTCATAAAGTTTAGCCTTACATAGTTGTATGAAACGAACAATTATGTATCTAGATGCTTAAATAAGCAATAAAATACCATTGCACAATCTTTGACCCTAATGATATGCACCACTGAAGTCACATAGACATGCATCTATCACAATGTAAGTTGCATACATGTGTTACATGAAGCCAGTTATGTTTGTTTGTCTGCTTAAATATACACGTTTGTGATGCTTTTAGTCACACTGGTGGTAGGATTGCAATGATTTTATATACTGCTACAAATTTTTTTAACCGGTGATACCTTGCATGCAAAAACAATGCATACATTTGTGAGTAATGGATATACATATACGGTTATTGACTCTTTTCCATTCTTTCAGTATGTGTAGATAAAAAACATACATCCATTTGCACAGTTCATTAACCTGCTCTAATATTATAGTTTTATTAATAGAAATATGTCTAACTTTACACACTTTCTGGTCATCATAGATACACTTCACTATTGAGTCAACTGGAATTAAATCAAAGTTAAAAGTCTCCTCCAAATTTTGACATTAAGAAGTCATATATTTCAATTAGAAGACTAAATAACAGTTACTTGTCAAGATCGTTAACATGTATGCACACAGATTTTCAGTATTTCTGGATAAGAGATAATTGTGATCTTCATTTCTTAGTTGTTTGTTTACTGACACCAGAATTATGATCCGTGTAGCAGGCAAACTTTACTTACTTTCAGTTCATATAATCTTAGAACTGAATAACACTTACCATATTCTTAATGTGGATATACTATATTTCCAATGATGTTATCCATCACAAATCTGATAGAAAAAGTGTTCCGATTCTAATATTTGCAAGGCGCTTACATTTTGCGACTGATTTATATGAAGTTGTATGTCCCTAAAGGAAACCAGAAACACATACATTTCCTAGTTTTCACCTCAAGAGATACACTGACCAGTTTTGTTTAAGTTCATCGTGTTTCTGAGAGAAATCTGAAAAGAATACACAAAGTTTAACTAATCAATCTTGATGGTTTTTCGAGAACTTTAGCCTAGTTATAATTATTACTATTTATTAGCAAGCTTGTAATTCTCCATTGTTTTATTGGATCGAATTATTCGACCTCTTATGGCATATGGGCTCCTATGCGGACACCCCGATATTGTCTGAATATTTATTATGACAACTTACTTGGTTATGGCTGGCAGAGGAATCCAGGATGCGCATTTCGTTATATTCGGGTCTCATCAGCTGGATGTACTTCTATTCCAGTGAGCGCTGTTATTCCCGCCGAGATTTGAGTCTCATACCCATACCTCCAAATGGCACAGTGTTATCCACTAGGTCACTAGGGCTTGATAGCCAAGCGCATCCTGAGTTCCTGTGTTAACCATAACCAAGTGAGTTATCATAATTAGTATTCAGGCAACATTGAGCCATCCGCATAGGGGCCCATATGTCATAAGATGTCAAACAATTCGATTCAGTAAAACAATGGAGAATTATAAGCATATCAACAAATTGTAATCAATAATATCCGTTGTACAAGAGGTAACTGTTGTGCCCCAGTGGCTCAGTGGATAACTCTTTGGCGTTTTAAGCGATGGTTACGAGATTCGATTTTCATTGGAGAGAATATTCCTTACTGGGGTGCATGTACATCTGGCTGACGAGTATTGAATAGGATGAAATATGCATCCTACAGTCCTGTGCTAGCCAGAACCGAGTAACCCATAATAAATTCGTTATAATTGTTGCATTATTTGTTAATATTTCGGTTACATCTGTACAGCATTATGCGCGTTCTTAGTGATTGGGAATAATGATCTACAAGCATCCAAGCTGACTCTGAAAACTGAGACCGTTGCTTAGAGAAAATCAACATACTATAAAGCGTAATTAGTATAGGATTGCTTGTTTAACTCTCTTAAACATCGTTATATGCATCTGTTATTTGTCTGAATTCTTTAAGGTATTTGAAAGTATTTTGGCTGTCTTGTTTAAATTTTTGTGAACAATGATATTTATGACATACTATCTAACTAGTAGAACCACCATGTTGAAAGTGGCATCGATTGCTTTTTTAAGGTTCATGGAAAAATTTTAAGGTGTTAAGTACTTAAGGTTGCTAACAAAATGATTTTTTGAAGCGAATTGTTTATAACGTAAACTGTAGGCTAAACTATACGTCTAAATTGGGTACAACCCCTAACTTTCATTTTCTGTATATGGACAACCAGATTTATACCATAATTTCTCAAGCATCTGGCAAAATAAGTAAGGTAATAAGACTAACCAGTTACGTCATATTGGTTACGAAATCCCCTTCCAAGGAACTACGGAGTAAAAAAATGACCTATCTACATTTAGGCAAAAGCATCTTGTTACAGAGATTACTATTATTATGGTTAGGTCAGGAAGCGATGGAAACTACAAAGCGTTAGAAGTTTATTTTTTTTAACTTCAGTAGCTTCAGTAGCTTCATATCTTGTAATAGGTAAAGTAATATGAAGTCAAGTATTCAAACTTTAAGTTACTGAAACTGAACTTGTATGACTATTAACTGCAAATCAAACTGTAGCGTTAGCTAGTAATAAAGATCACTTTAAAACTAAAGAATACCTTGTTAGACATTTAAGTGAATAAAAATAATTTCATATCATAGTAAAGTTACTTAAGTTCTGTCATGGTAAGATGTATGCTATGCACAAATCTCCCACCTGACTTATACGAGTTTTGTTTTGAGTTTGTATATATGTGTATAATGTAACTGAATCCTTGGGGTTAATGGACAGTCAGTGATTTTCTCAGAGGAGATTTTAACCACTTCTTAGCGTTAGTAGTTGTTGAATTTTCAAAGTTTTAAGTCCATGAGGTGTATACAACTGGAAAATACTTCTGACTCCTTTATTTTTGACCATCAGTCTTCATTGAACAAAAATATCTACCTTTAGAAATGAAGATAAAATGGCCTTATTTGGAAATACTTGACATTACTTATTATAGGACTTCATATATCATTAGGAACCAGCCTACCTCTAGAAGCTTTCACCCCAGAAATACAACCAACTTATGAAGTTCTTTATGAGAAGCTTTCATGTAATCAACAAAATTTCTGTATAACCTAGCCTCTAACTTAGATTTTTAACAGTTAAAAAACTAGATTGATAGATTTCCTTTTCTTATCCCCTGAGAGAAAATGGAGTTTGACAAATAATTCTTTCAAGTAGTATACAACACTTTAAATAATCACTGTACGCTTTTCATTTATAAACAGTTCTGGTTATCATAGCATTAGTCATACTCTCTTTATCGTCAGCAGAATACTTGATGTAACTGATGTACAAAAATAATTTAGGATTTGAGTCGATAATATGAAGGAGGTTTAAGAGACCAGTTCCAAGTTAAACTTTATGTAAGTTATAAGTAGTTAACAGTTACTGGAAATTTCTACCTAATGACAAAAGAAAGAAGGACGCGTATACGACTGTCTACATTTTGTATTGTATATGTGATGAAAAGACCATATTTATTTGCATTGTCGATACTGATTTGAATCTCAGAGGTGTAGTTTCTGGCCTGTATGCTATGAGCTATTTCATCTACGTTAGTGTGGTTTACCTTCGAGCTAGTGATACTTCCCTCTTAGTTAAATAATCCGTATGTAATAACCGATTAGTTTCTCTACTAATCATGCTGCAGCTCACTGATTTAGGTAGTTAACTATCGACCCATGAGTGCGGAATTCCAGCCCGGCCTCATCTGCTTAGGTTCAGTCAACCAAGTAGTATCACTAGCCCCTTACACAACACATGTGGCATACCATCTACTGAACAAGCATGGATGCCTTTGCTTGGTAAAATTTCAATTATCAGTCGGCTTAACTTCGTCAGTAAGTGAAATTTTTGAACCATATGTCAGTTATGAAACTGTAGCCTTCCAGTTTTAAATAGTTTAGCGAACCTACTTCATTGCTTGGTATGAAAGAGGAGTATTGAAACCAGAAGTTTATTAAAAAAAATAGTTGCACTGATTATCTTTATCAATACCCAAAGGTTTTTTATGTTCCCTTTCAGTAGTATGTTTATTCATTGGCACAATTCATCGTTTAATCACTGAACCTATACGCGTTAGAGTTTTACAGCTGATCGTCAAATTTTAATCACCAGTAAGTCCACTCAGGTAGCTCATGTGCATTCATAACTTCGATTTATGTGAAATCAGCTGCCGTCGCAAACATAAATTTACTTATGTGACTAGATCTTGTAAATTTACTCAAACA